TATCGTTGAGCTTAATTTCATCATTATTTGCTTGATTGTCAAGGTTATCGTAACTTTTACCGTTAGCCTCATCTACATTTGTTTCATCACTTTCTTTATTTTTTGGATCAGTTTGAGGGCTATAAAAAAAAAAGTTGTTTTCTTAACTAAAATAAAATGCATATTATTATTACAGTGAAGGCTAGTGGTAGTTTTATATGATTGTGCCATAAACTATACATTTATCGATCGCCCCTTATCATGAGCCGCCACTGTATATTAACTTACTTATAGACTGAAGTATTTGTTCTAACTCCTCTTCTGTTGCTAGTTTTTCTATTTGTTCTCGYGGAAGAGAAGATGTCAAAAGACTTCTTTGTGCTTTAGTGCCAAACATAGCTTCGTATGGCGTTTGCTTAATACCTTGATGATACGTCGTGTTTTTTGTAAATTGACAAATGGTAATGCTTCTGACCATTTTGTAGTGKCATCAYCTYCCATTATAGCTCTYAGTATATTTTGGAAATCTTGGTTTGCCCTTTCGATGGATCCTTGTGTTTGGCTGTGGCGTGGTTTACCATGCACAATTTTCACACCATCCAACATTGAACATGGCTCTGATATAAATTTATTTACGAATTCTCGTCCTCTGTCGGAATGTAAAATATCTGGAGCATTGAAAAYAAGAAATATATTTAATAAGTGATGTGCAACTTCTTCTGCAGTTTTAGATTTTAAAGGTCTTAACTGAATAAAGGTGATTAGTAAAGAAAATTAGGTGATCCTGATAATTTAGTATAAATTTAAATTCACCATCATTGCGAGTTTGCATATCTACCAAGTCTACTTGACACTGCGAATTAAGTTCACGACTTATAATAGGTTTGATTACAATACCTTTTTTTGGAACTTTTTGTTTGGTTTGGCATTGAACACATAAACTTAAAAATAACATAACAACATCATATGTTATTGTGWTATTAAATAATAAATTGTTCTGCAATTCGTTCATCATTCTGGTTCGCCCTGCATGACCAGTTCTTACATGAGCTGATGAGCTTCGTGCATAATTTCGAATAGTTCTTCGTTCTTCACATAGTAAATAATTTTAATTTCRACTTCTTTTAACGAGACGATTAGTTTATGATGATCCATAATATCAACAACGATTTGGTATCATATTGTCTTATACGATAAAATTACTAACGTCCAAACGTCTCCAATGGATATTGTGACTGGATAATAACGCCTTAATTTTAGAAAATAATACAAAAATACCTTTTACATTACAAMATACATCGARATTCAAGCGTGGTCAACATTTACCAARCACTTATCGCAAATKTCAACAATCACCGCTGTATGRACRTACAAAGACCATTTTTTCAACATTCACTATGATCTTAGTGAATGTCAACATTCGCCGACTGCGATCATACACCTTAACATATAATATATTATACTA